ACATTCCTCCCCTGCCTCCCTCTGTTCCTGGCTGACAATGGAGGGGTGGGGTGGGGTTGGGGGGTCCACTTCCCAGGCAGAAAGATGGGGCAGGTTCCAGGGAGAGAAAAGATGAGAAGGGACACTTTTCTCTCACCACAGAGACCACATCAGGGCGCCTCTCAGAAAGTCTGGGACTTACTCCCTTACCCCTATGATAAGGACACAAAGGATCCTTAGCAACGAGGATCTTCATTCACAATTCCACCTCCATCATGCAGTCCGCATTATATACATTCATAAAAATAACTCCCACTACACATCATTTCAACAAGACTATGGGGCTAGTAAAAGCCAGCTGTGGGCATATTTTCTCCTGTACTTTTCTCTCTCATTTATGGATCCCCAGGTTATATATGCCCTAGTTCGGTCCACACGTGTATTTACACAAAAACACATAGAGTCACTTGAATATATTCACACGCATGCACACTCCAGGTGACCGTTTTTCCCAAAGTTCCCCCTTTCCTAACAGTTTGAACAAAATTTTAGAGCCGATGTTGGCCTTCCAAGTGCCAGGCACTCTTCTGTACCTCACACCCCTGCCGCTCACTCCTCTGGGCCTCACACCCCTGCTACTTACAGCCAAGGTTAGCGTCAGATCCGAGATGCGGGAAAAGCCAGAGTGCTGCTCTCCGAGGCAGTCCTCCAAATCATTAGGATACCTCAAGGTCACAGACTAAATATATTCACCTTTTCCCCCAGCCGAGGGTGGGAGTGGGGTAGTCTCCTTTAGGGGCCAGCCTTCTAGGTAGAGAGCTCAGGTAGCCACTACCAGGCAGGCACGAAAGAATTATATACTAAGGGGGAGGCAGGGCAGGGCTTCCCATGCCATGTGGGGCCTGGGAGGTGGAGCCCGGAAATGAGAGAGGCTGCCCTGCTGCTGGGACCCTGCCTTGGACTCTCTGACCCATGATCCCCAGTTCCTCCTAAAAAAATTCTCAAAATTCCATCTACTTTTTACTCAAGATACCAAGCTCCTTTCCAACTAGGGCTCTCAATTGTGCCCATCCCAACATTTATACCACAGAAGAGTACTGTGAATGAGAGAGACACGTTAGAGTCAGAGTTCGGCTTAGGTGTTCGGTTTGGGGAGAATTACTTCACTTCATTGAAGTTCAGTTTCCTCATCTGTAAGTGAGAATGATAACAGCTACCTCATAGGGTTGCTATGCGGATTAAGTGAGATAATGTAGGTAAATTTAGCATTTAACAGTAGCCATAAGTTCCACTGTGAGTAACCATTACTATCAAAACTCTTGACACGAGCTACACCTGTATACAGCCACTTCCTTGCTCACACATTTTCTCCCATAGACTCCCACATACAGGCCTTAATATATTCATAGATTATTCACACTTCTCTCTCATACACACTCTCTCCCCTTGAGTCTTCTGTAGCTCATGTGGTCACAAACCCCTCTGGCACGTGACCATAGCATCAGCCCATTCTGAGAAAGGGTTTGTGAAATTTTCCTTAGAAAGGATAGAAGAGGAAGGCAAAAAGGAGAAACAGCTAAGGGAGTAAGACCCTTCCCAGGGATCTCCCTTCCTAAACTGCTGATGTCTTCCCCTGCATTCTAGAAGCCAGAACTCTCTTGGCTATGGGAGGGTGGTACCTGCATAGAATGGATCCTGTAGCTCAGGAACTGGGCCTGGGGCTTTGTTGGAGCTGGCTTGGCTGAGGGGCTCTTGGCTGATGGGCTCAAAGGTTTCCATGCTGAGAAAGGCAGTGTTGGCTGGAGCAGGACCAGCTTGAGCCACCCCCCATGCCTTTTAAAGCCCCTTTGTCTTGTCCCCAGAGCTGGCAGCTGAATGAGCTCACTATGCTATTTTTGGAGCCTGTCCCCCTCCCTTCTCTGGCCTGCTCCACAAGCCCCGGTGTGATAGACGTGGGCACCTGCCTACCCTTCCCCCCACTCCACCCCACTGGACAATGAGGTCTGCTTGGATAAAAATATCCCTAAGTCACTAACTACAGTCTCACCCAGCATGATGGAAAGGGAGATTGCTAAAATGAGAATTGGGGATAAGCATGGGATCCTGGGCATGCATCTGGAATTTCTTTGTGGTCTATTGGACATTCTCAGGGATGTCAGACTCTAAACTGTCCTGTCCTTAGCCTCTAGTCCAGACTTAGAGACACAAAATTCTATGGATCATGAGTCAGAATGGCGGAGGGGAGGAATGAGAGATAAGAACTACAGGGGTGATCCTGAGATTTCCAAGGAGACAAGAAAGGGCTCTGGGGAGAGGCATGGGAGGCACAGGACAGGGAGAAGGTTCACTCTTAGACCTCGTTCTGTAGCTCACATCAAAAATAGCAGAGAGCTTGAGATAAGCGGAACTGGTTTTTTTCTGCCCAGGCCTATACAATCTTGCCTGAGATAAAGAGTTGAAGATCCCTCCCTCTACCACTTCCTAGGAACTCATGACTATCTCATAGCCTCCCAGCCCCAGGAGTCCTGATTGAACTTACAGATGTCAAAGGTAGCTCTGACTTTATGCCTACAATTAACACCAAAGAGCCCCTGAAGCCATACCCTGCTTCAAAATACTTCCCTGCCCTATATCTGGCACCCAGCAAAATTATAGCAGCAACAAGCAAACCCCTCAGTGATTCATGTCCCTTTCCAACTTCCCTACTTACCCTGTTTCTGGGTTGGGTGGAACCACCTGTACCTTTTTACCCCACTAGTTCAAACAGCAGAATAATGATTTCCCTCTCCTACTCATCAGTCTTCTCCACTTGTCCCCAAGACTATATCCAAGGTTATGAAGGGGGAGATTTAGGGCTCAGATTAAAAGATCCTGGCTAGGGAAAAAGGGTTCAGGCACTCACTGGCTTGCTTGGCCTTCTCGGTGTAGGTGGTAGTAAGATCTTCTGCCACCGGGTGGGAAACAGGCCCCACCATAGGGATGAGATGAGGGCCAGGCCGGAGGGGACCATGGGGCAACAGCAGGGCCTCAGCTGGGGGTGGCTTAAGGGCTGTCCCATTCTCCGAAGATGGGGAGCTCACACGGCTGTCACCCTGGTTGGAAGGACCAGGCACAGCAAGTGCCAGCTCTGCAGGGCTGTCAGACAGGTAGACCTCATCAGGTGGGGCTCCCGGAGGGGAGGGCCTTGCGGGGCCTCGGCGGCGGGGGCGGCGGGGCTTCTCCTGGGTGGCAGGGCCATCAGCATCGCTGTCTGTTTCTCCGTAGTAAGCCTCACTGTCAGGGGGTGAGAGGAGGCTCCCGGGCTGAAGAGGCTGGGGAACTGGAGCACCAGGGGGCTCAGGACTCAGCGGAGACAAGGGTGACAGCACCTGAAGCTCACCGGGGGGTGGAGACCTCAAAGGCCCTTCATCTTCTACCCTGGGGAGATGAGAGAACTTGAGAAATGGGCTGCACGGCCCACAGCTAGAGCGGCCTGGTGGGGGGGGCGAGGTTCGGGGAGAGAGGGGATGTAGGTGGAATGGGCTGGGAAGAGTGGCGATCTGAAGACAAACTGGGAAGGAGACAAGATGTGCTCGGAGGGCTGTGAGTGGAAATGGCTTTCAGGGAGATGGTAATGAGACAGGCAGGGGTTGAAGGAGGCCCCCACACTCAGATACCCACTTGACACCCATCCCTAGGTTACAGATACACCCAAGCCGTTTGGGAGGCCCACACTAACATCTATACTGCATCACTAACTCATAAGCAGAAATAGGTTCTTGTTAGTCGCTGAAGCCAGGCCAGGGATACACAGAGGAAAGTCAGGCAGTGGGAGTTCTGGACGAGGGGGACCGGGTGGGTTGGGTTGAGAGGAGTCCATACCTCTGCACAGTGAGGACAAGTTGATTCCCTGAGGCATCAATGAGGCTCATGGCGCTGGCATGAGAGAGACTGGTGCAGGAGACCCCATTGATGGCCAAAAGCTGGTCCCTCTCTCGGAGTCCTGCTCTGCCAGCCTGACTCCGTCTTCGGATCTGAGAAGGTGTTGGAGGAGAGACTGTAGGTGAGGGGGGCTCCAAGGAGGAGCAGAATGCAAGGAGTTAGGACAGGAAGGAGCCATGTGTGGGAGGGATTTTACTTCGCAGGCTAAGAAAGGGTGGAGGAGGTATGGGACTGCAGTTCAGGGGCCTTCCTAGAGGGCAGAAGGTGCAGAGTGGAGGGAGTAATACATTACATGAGGGGAAGTAGGGTAATCACCGAATGAGAGGGCTGGGGGGGAAGGGCCAGGAACCAGAAATGGTGGCTTTACAAGGTTTTCCTCTAAGGGCAGTATCTATACTAGCCAGTAGTTCTCTCCCAGGCCTTGGAATCCGAGGCACTCTTATCTATCTACATAGTCACAATTTTAGAACAGTATTCCAGAGTGGAGGGAGTCCTGCAAATTCTGGGAGACTGTGATTGTGTGTGTGCGTGTGTGCCCTGGTGGCTATCATTTACTGAGCGCTTACTAAATGTTAGGCATGGTGCTAAGCACTCTACATGTATTATTGCATTTAATCCTTAGAATGGTTCTATGAAGTAGGTGCCATTATTACCCACATTTTACAGCTGAGAAAAGTAAGCCTGTACGGTGAAACCAAAAGGATAGCAACTTCATCTGACAGGACAGATCTTGCCATTACCCTCCTAGCACCAAAAAAAGAGTCTTGCCTAGTGAGAAAGGATCTGGCGTAGGAAAAGAGGAGTACTGAAGGCATGGGCTGGGCAGGGCAGGGCAGGGCTGGGCTGGGCTGGGCTGGGCTGGGCAAGACAGCATCAGCTCATCACATATCAGTTTAGTTAGAGAGAAATTAGAACCTTCCCTACATTCCTGGAGTTTGTGGTAGAGGCACAGACCCAGGAGAGTCAAGACTGGGTGGCCAGGCCTGGGCCTCTGCTGCTAAGGTGCTGCAGGGAACTGAGACAGTCTTTCTTTGCTGCCAAAAACCAATAGCCTTTTCCAATAGCCCCCACCCCCACAGGAAGCCTGTGCTCACACGCTGGTCCCCCCGCCGAACTTTAGCATGCTTCCCTACCCACCTGCCCACCCCCACTCCTCTTCACAGCTCCCCACTTCTCCCCCATATGCCACCACAGGACTCTTCCCAGGTTCCCTTGGGTTCCCCCTTTCCCTGAAACCTCAATGTAGGGACTTTCCCTTACCTTGGACACCTGTAAGGGTTTCCTCTGCTCGGCCCCACCCTGAAGTCGGAAGCCCCAGGGGGCTCCCCCTGACAGTGTGACCAGCACCTCCTTCTCCGCACCCATCGCTCAGGTTGGCCTATGGCCCTAAGAGTCTGGACAGTGTCCCAGGGAGAGAAGTAGAGGTGCTGGTACCCCGTCCGGCCTGTCTGGCTGTCCTGCTCCTGCTGCCCCAGGCCTTCCCCCCCACACCACACACCACACACCACACACCACAGGCAGGCAGCTTGGCCCTGGGATCAGTCCAGTCCAGCACACGTGTCCTGTCAATCGAAGTTGTGCTCAAAATAGTTGCCGGCTGTACTCCTCTCCCTCCCTCAGCTGAACTACTCCCAGAGCTAATTATAGTAAAAACTTCTGCCCTCTCCTGTCCCCCATTCTCCTGCAGGGGCCTTTCACTCAGGACTCCGAGTACTAGCTCTCGGGGCTCTATAACTCATGTACACCTTTTCAGGGACTGTGGCTTCCCTGATAGGATCATGGGCTAATTCCAACTGCTTTCCCCCAAAGCTCATTTCAAAGTGGGAGCAGCAGGGGCTTCAATTCCAGAGCGAGGAATGGCTGGGTTTGTCCCACAAGTTCTCAAGTTTCCAAGAAAAGAGTGCCCCTTCCTACGTGAATCTACCTATTAATCAAAATGGTGATCTATATCCCACTGCAGTGCTGGGTGCAATTTAGGGGAATTCTGATCAGCTTTGCCCCAGCTGAACTGTTGACTGTTCCATAAAGCCTTTCATGCCCATCTCCTGACTCCCTACCTATACAATAGGCCTTTCTTTTCTGGGCAACAGATGTATCAACATATTTCTATTGTTGTATTTCTCAGCCAATATTATAGTTTGTTTATATGCCTGTCTCTCTCTTAGATTGTGAGAAACTTGAAGGCAAAGACTGTGTGCAACAGCCAATTAACAGCCCACAGAACAATGACAGATGTAAATAGTGCTCAATAAATGTTTGCTAAATTAAATTACCTCTTACAATACATAGGTGGTCATGGAAAGGTGAATACAGATAGGTGTGCATAAACATGCCAACCCATGGTAATAATAAAATCCCTACTTATTTTTAGGTTTCCATTACATGAATGTGCCCTATGTTACGAGATCTCTGTTATAAAACATAATGTTATGGTGCTGTAATTATTAAAGGCTACAGCGTTTCCTGGAATAGCTGTTCTGCTAGTGTGTCAAATGCTGTTTGCCTTGGTGTATGTAGTCATAGAAAACACCTGGGATACAGAATCAGATCTGGACTTGGAGTGACCTTGGGCAATTACTTTACCTCATCAGTAAAAAGAGTATCTAAATATCCATTCATTCACTATTCAAACATTTATTACATGTTAGCTACATGTAAGCCATAGTGCTATACCAGTGGCTTTAATTTAACCCTCAATGCACATTGGAATCACCTGGAAAACTTTTAAAGCTACTGGTTCCCTAAAATAAGACAGCATATAGAATTAGATGATTGTGTAATGAAAAAAGTCTATCAATCTATATATATATATGTGTGTGTGTGTGTGTGTATTTTTCTTAGGCCTCAGCCTTAGGGATTCTGATTTTAATGGTCTGGTTCCTGATATCGACATTTTAAAAAGCACCACAGCCCGGCCGGGCATGGCTCATTGGTTGAGCCAGGATCTAGGATCCAGGCGATCAGGGTTTGATTCCCGGTCAGGGCACATGCCTGGGTTGTGGGCTCGATCCCCAGTTGGGGGGGGGGGAGTGCAGGAGGCAGCCGATCAGTGACTCTCTCATCATTGATGTTTCTATCTCTCTCTCTCCCTCTCCTTTCCTCTCTCTGAAATCAATAAAGATATATTAAAAAAAAAAAAAAAAAGTTTAAAAAGCACCACAGATACCCTGGCTGGTGTGCTTCAGTTGGTTGGGCGTCCTCCTGTGTACGGAAAAGTTGCTGGTTTGATTCCTGGTCAGGGCACATGCCCAGGTTTCAGGTTCGATCTCAGGTAGGGGGTGTGCAGGAGGCAGCCAATTGATGTTTTGTTTTCACATCGATGTTTGTTTTTCTCACTCTCTGTCCCTCTTCCTTCCTCTCTCTCTAAAAATCAATTTAAAAAATTTAAAAAACAAACTAACAAATAAATAAAAAGCACCACAGATTATTCTAATATGTAACCAAGATTGAGAACCACAGCAGGATACAGAAAGCAGTAAAATGCAACGGATCAGCCTCCATCAAGAAACCAAACTTAGGACTCCTACCTAAGGGGTAGGGGTGCAACCTTACTTAACATGGAGGATACCAACTTGCATATGCTGATGTGAGTTAAATGGGATAAACTTGTATGTAAAATGCTTAGCAAAGGTCCCAGCCTAGGGTGCCTTTGTGCAAGTGGGTCTCAATCTTCAGAGTGTGAAAGGAATCCTCTGGGGAGCCTGCTGAACCATAGCTCGCTGGGCCCGCCTCCAGACTTTCTGATTCTATATGTCTAGGGTGGGTCTGAGGTTTGCATTTCTAACAGGTTCTCAGGTGGTCCTGATACCATTGATCCCAGGATCACACTTTGAGAATCACTGACCTCGACTATAAACGACAGGAACAATCTGCTCATTTACTAAAGCACGCTCAGTGACGAGTACAGCTTCCAGCACAGGCTACAAGTGCAATTTTTCAATGTATGAACCACTCTGTGCCTCAGAATAACTAATATTTACCATCAACAATATGAGAGAATAACTTTTGTGTACAGCAGTGCGCAAAGATAATTATTAAATGAATGAGCATTGTTGAAAGGATTAAATGAGGTCATGTATATTTCTAAAAATCGTAGGAATATTAGCTACAATTGTTGTTACACCTTCGGGGTAATAATAATTACTCCAGAAACGGTAGCTCTTCCCCATGCTGAGGGCATTCTGAGAGCAGAGACCACCTGGCTCCTCCACAGCTCTGCGTCTGAACCAAGGCGCTGTGTAAAAGTGGTTAATAACAGCTGACTTTCATTGAGTGCTTACTCCGGTGCCAGGAAATCTACGTGACTATTGAAGGGCAACAAGCTATTAGAAGAGCATTTAATATTCTCTCCATTTTACAGAAGAAAGAAACTGAGGGAGAGATTAAGTTGCCCAAGAGAGCGAATTGCAGAGCCAGAACTCGAACACATGAAGTCTGGCAAAGGTCAAGGGTGAGAACCACCCCGAAGACGGAAATCAGTGGGGTCAAGGGTCGGCAGGAAGTGGCTACGGACTCTAGATCGGAGGTCACTACCATGTCATAGGCCATTGAGGGGTTGTTACTAAAGATAGTTTGACTTAGTCTTTTCAATCGCTTCTCAGCTGGTGGGACCGTAAAGCGACCAGGACATTTGGGTGGGGGAAAAAAAAAAAAAAAAAAAGGGCGCAAAAGAGTAAGAATCTGCGGAGCCGCCCAAGGGGCGGTCCTGCTGAGTAAAGGAAGTGGCGCATGCGCAGCATCCGGGTTCCTGGGCGCATGCCGGTGCAGACGTGGCAGAAGGAGTGGACCGGTCCCGGAGCGTGGGGGTGGAACTTCCGGGGGCGACACTGCAGCCCCTCGGAACCGGAAGTGGAGCCTGGGAGCCTTGACGTTAGGAACGAAGTCGAGCCTGGATCTGGAGCCGGGTGAGGAGTGGCATCGGGAGGTTGGTGGGTAGGAATGAAGAGGAGAGGCCAGGGTTCTGCCAGATCGGAGTTCTGTCTGAGAAGGAAGGGAGGAGCCCGGGGGCGGGGCCGGGTGAGAGACCCTCACCTCACGCATCCGCAATCCAGGATCAGTCTTAGACCATACCCTCCTTTCTCACCTCCCGGCCCAGATTCCGGCTCCCGCTTCCTGCCCGGAGCCTGCTGAAGGGCGCAAGACGCTCCATCTTCGTGCTTAGTGGATCATCCCCTTCTTCGTGGCCCGAGAACCTCCCTTGGCTTCTCGGTCTTGGTCCCCGGCGCCCCCAGCCTCCGCAGCTCGACTCCTTTCAGACTTCTAGAAAGCTTGCCCCGCCCCCTGGGTTGTCACCCTCGACCGTCCACCCAGAGGGGAGTGGAAACCTGAGCCTGCTCCAAACTCTTGGGTGTGTTTGAGGGAATTATTTCCCGGAGAAGAAGCTCCTTTCCTCCCACCCCCAGCCCTACACTGACTTTAGGAAGATGAAGGGAGGGAAACACCTGTCAAGCTTAGTCTTGTGACCTGTGTAAGGTTTAGGATTTGGAAGAACAACGCCTGAGATGGCTCTGAGTTTAAAGAATTCTAGTCCAGGACCATCTCAGCTTTTCTTTACTCAAGATGATATTTCCTAGCAAAGGGAAGAGGTTCATCATTCCACTGCAGTAGCTGTGAGCTCTCCTGCTTCCTGGGTCCCTTCTGTCAATAGGATAGTTGGAATGACAAGGCTGTTTAAAGTAGATGTGATCCGGTAGTCCTGTTCTTGGAAGGACCCAAAAAAGGGCCTCTAATTCATCCTTCTGTTGCTGGGCAAGATCGTAATAATTTTGGTGGTAGCCTAGATTCATGACAAGTATATAGAGAGCAGAAACAGGAGAGTTGGAGGAGTGCATTGGGATTTGGAATACTCCTAGTCCCTCTGCTTCATGGATAAGGTGAATGATCTTTTTTCCATGAAATCTAACCTTGCTGCTGATCCTTGAATTATTTTCCTAGGTTATTGTGAGAAGTTTTTTGTGCCTGGCCTCCACTCAGTTCTAACCTGGTACCTTGCTAGAGTTTTCAGATGTCCTTTACATTTAGTTATTCTAATGCTTCAGTTCTAAGGTACACACATTCTTTTTGGGGGAAGATTGGAGATGGAGTAGCATTTGGATTTTTGTAGTTTAGCCAAAGAATGTCATTTCTTTAGTCAGTTCCTCTGAAATTTGCCTTTTGAAGGGCACGGAATTTATCTGATCTGCTTTAGACATGTAGCCTGAGTGATTAAAAATGACTAGCACATTGGAGGGCATTCAGTGTTTGTTGAATGAAAGGATGCTAGAGTGAATGAATGGAAAGTGGGAACACTGTTTCATTTACCTGTAATATCACAATAGTTCATCAGTGGCAGGACTCCTTGTATGTCTAGACACTAGAAATTATACCACTGGGGCATGGAGGCTGCTGTTCCATTGCAGTGGACTTATCTGAAGTTGAAATTTATACCCTCTTGGCAGTGACAAAGCATGGGGTTCAGAGTAACAAAATCCTTACTTTGGGGAGGTAATCTGGCTACTGGTTGGGGCAGAAAATTACAAAGATCCTGTGGAGTGTGGGAATGATTAGGCTGATCACTGCGTAATAATGTCAGTCCTTTTTTTGTCTCTACTTCCTACTCTCTATAGCTGATCTGTTTCGAGATTTGATTTTGACTAATTTCTTCTCTCTTATCTAATAGGTGAGACCAAGTTGGGGATGCTCTCATAATGAACGTCAACCAGTCAGCTCCACCTGTGCCACCGTTTGGGCAGCCCCAGCCTGTCTACCCAGGGTATCATCAATCCAGCTATGGTGGGCAACCAGGGTCCACAGCCCCTCCCAACTCATATGGAGCCTACAATGGGCCAGTACCAGGCTATCAGCAAGCACCTCCCCCAGGTTTGTTTCCAAGTTTCCTTTGATGTAAGGAGGGGAATCAGTAGTCTTTAGGTTGGGTTGTATTGCCCTACCAAAATTGTCTAGAGAGTTGGGGTGACGGATTGAGGAACATGAATCTGGCTCTTGGTCACTGAGAGCCCCTCCCTGGGTAGTCTGCCCTTCCCTGTTTTTACATAAGGTGACTGTCTTCCTGTCTTAAGACATCAAGTGGGAACACATCTTCCATGCTCAAAGGCAGTTCATTTCCTGAGGGTGTCACCCTGTGCAACCTCACCTGGCTGCGTTGTTTACAGATGGATGGAAGGGTTATGGTTACAGCTTCTTCAGAGCCTATGACCAGGACTGAATATTTCCTGTTGACCTAAAGTCTACCTGAAATCACTTGTTCCATATATATATATTTTAATCCTCACCGGAGGACATGCTTATAGAGAGAGGAAGGGAGGGAGTGGGGGAGAGAAGGAGGGAGAAGGAGAAAGATCCTTTAGCTGCCTTCCACACTTGCCCTAACTGGGGATCGAACCCACAACCCAGGTTATGTGCCCTGACTGGGATTGAACCAGCAACCTTTCAGTGAAAGGTGCATAGGGTGATGCTCAACCAACTGAGCCACTCTCGCTGGACGTTCCTCATATGTATTGATAATGCCTCTCATTGGACGGACTGTTCTGTTGGGACATGGGAAGCTAGTTCATGGATGAAAAGTATGGTGTTTGTGTGCCTGAGTTTTTGTGCCTGTCATATCTTTGCTGACACCATTCCTTCCCTTTGCTTGAATTTCCTCTGATTCTTAGAGGCTCTGTAATATCAAGGCAATAACAGAAAACTGAGAGGTTCTATAATATTAGGGCAATAAGAGAAGACTTTATCTGGTTCTGCCTTAAAATCAGTATTTTGTCTTTTACTTTACAGATTACTCTAGTACTCTACAGATTATCCATAAGGACTTTTATATTTATTTATTTATTTATTTTTAAATATATCTTTATTGATTTCAGAGGGAGGAAAGGAGAGGGAGAGAGAGATAGAAACATCAATGATGAGAGAGTCATTGATCGAGCCCACAACCCGGGAATTGAACCCTGATCGCCTGGCTCCTAGGTGGACGCTCAACCGCTGAGCCACGCCTGGCCAGGCCATAAGGACTTTTAGAAAACTGTTAGCAGTATATCTTTGGTTAGGCTAGTTGAGGACTTAGGGTATGCCAAACGCTTTATGCTTTTTAAGAAAGTAAATCTCGTGAAGGGATATGGGACCAAGGAGGCATAGGTGAGATTTGGGAAAAGAAACATTACCATTTAAATTATAACTTTGGGGGAAAAATCATGAAATGGTGAGATTACGTCTCAGGTTTCCAGAGACACTTACTCTGGGTTGGGACTTTGGCTGAACAGAGTCCACCTCTGATCTGTCAAGTCCTGGTTTATCAAGATGGAGTTTGGCATTGCCTCGAGAGGAAGCTTTGTTATTGAGAGGAAAATGTACCTGGTTTGTGATTCCTAGTGAGCAGGTTCAGATTAGTAATGTTCCTGTAGGCAGGTTCTGTAGTGTATAATCTCTGCCGAGGGCAGAGCAAAAGAAAAACCAATGTTTGTACAGGGGTCAGCATTGTTTCCAAAGTGATATGTCAAGTAACTAATTGCTTTGTTCCTGCATTTCATGTGGGAAGGATGGCTGGGGACAGTATGCAGGAAGGATGATTGGGGCTAGTAGAAATAGCTGTGATGGCAGCTCTGATGAGCAGAAAGGATGGAGTCCAGTTTTTGTGAAGACATAGGTGGCAGCACTAATGGGAGGGCGGGCCACCTGACTGAACTGTTGGGTGGAAACAAAGTCTCCAACCTATTGGAACACTTTCCTGAGCCATGTGCTGTTGGGAGAAGTGGATGAAAAGAAGAAGGTTAGGATAAGTAGAATATATGAAGAGGAGGTTGGCAGAATAGTCTCCCCAAGAGGTGCCTTTCTTGACAGCCTAGTTCAGTGTATTACTCGGTCATTTTCTGAGCCACTTTTCTCATATATCTTCTAAGTTTCTAATTTTTGGAGTATGATCTTTTTCCTTAAAAGGATTGACTTTTAGTCTAAGGTGAGAACATTAGGCTGTCCTGGATTAAGTGAGAGTAAGTACATGGTGATCATAGGAAGGCCCTACATTCTGTAGCCCTGACTACAGCTTCACTTGTAGTATAACCTGTCTAGGAGAGTGGAGGCTCTCTGATTGGTCGTCAGTGTTCAGAATCTGCTATAGTTTGCATGTTGATGGTGTCCTTTTAATTACAAAGCTATGGTATTGGGCTACTGAAGTTCTGTGCTTATTGATTCTTGCTTTGCACTCATTGATCAGGGTAGAGGAGAAAGTTATTTCCCAATCACTTAGTTTCTGTCCTTTACCCTCAGGTATGTCAAGAGCTCCACCTTCTTCAGGGGCCCCTCCAGCCTCAACAGCACAGGCCTCTTGTGGCCAGGGTGCATATGGCCAGTTTGGCCAAGGAGATGTACAGAATGGGCCTAGCTCCACTGTTCAAATGCAAAGGTATGTACTTGGGTCAACCTAAAATTGGTCTGATGAAACTGGAAAGATTAGGAATGTATGAGGGCCCATTTCCTTTTCTTTGCCTTTTATTTATTTATTTCACCTTATTTTTTTCTCTGTGAATTTAACAATCTTTTTTCTTTTTTATTGAATTTATTGGGGTGACATTGGTTAATAAAATTATATAGGCTTCAGGTGTACAGTTCTATAATACATCAGCTTTATATTGTATTATGTGCCCACCACCCCAAGTCAGGTCTCAGTCTATCACCATTTATTATCCCCCCTTTACCCTCTTCTACCCCACCCCCACACACCTTTCCCTCTTATAATCACCATATTATTGTCTGTGTTTATGAGTTTTGTTTTTGTTTTGCGTAATCCCTTCTCTTTGCCTTTCTTTTAGATCCCTTTTTCTCTTTCCTCCACCTTTTTGCATTTTGTTTTTATTTTTCTGGGTTATAGGTGCTGCTACAGTCCACTCTGTGGGTTATTGACCTGTCTTAGTACTTGTGTTCTTTTACATATTCTTTCTCTTTCTTTGAACCTGAGTTTTTTTCCTGACTAGACATATATCTTTAATAATTATTTCAGTTCTACTGAGCCTACCCTAAGGGAGAAACAGGAAGAAGGGACCTCAGGATTATTTGTCTCCTCTGACTTTCTTCCCCCTTTCCTCTAGATCAGGTATTTGGTAGGACTTATTGGCTAAGTTCAGGTGTGACCAGTTATGAAAGAAAAGATACTCAAAACCATATATGTCATTCTTTGAAAGCTTTCATTATTCATCAAGGCCAGTATATTGTTATTATAATCATTTAAAAAGGGGCGGGGGAAACCATTTAAATGATGAAAACTGGTGGTGTATGATCTGTATAACTGTGGGTAGGATGTGTAGTAATGGAAGAGTCGCTTTCTGACATTTTTATTGGGCATCTAGAATGTACATTTTTAGCATTGAATGCAAGCTTGGAGAAAGATCTTGAGAAGTTCTCCCTAACCCTGTATGTTGGAATACTCTGGGAGCAGTATAGGGAATTCATTCATTCATTCATCCACTCAAAAAGTATTTATTTTGTACTATTATGTGTCAGACATTATTCTAGAAGTTGGAGATGAAGCAGTAAACAAAACAGAATAAGTCTATGCCTTCATTGAGCTTACTATCTAGTGGAGTACACAGGAGGTGACAAGTAGACAAATATAAATAAGAAATAAAACAGAGTAAGGATATAAAGAATGACTGGTGAGGAAGTAGGAAGCTGTTTTAAATACATTCATCAAGGAGAACCTCTCTGAAGTGATATTTGAAACCTCAGTGAAATGATGAAGGGAGCTCTCCAAAGGTCTGGAGGAAGAGTGTCATAGAGGGCACAACAAGTGCAAAGGTCTCGATGGAGAAATTAATTTGGTGGATGTGAGGAAGAGCAAGAAGGCCAATGTGGCTAGCAATAGTGGAGAGTAGAGGAGAGAAAGTGGAAACATAGGCAGGAGCCATATTATGCAGTGCTTTGTAAGCCATATTAGGAAGTTTAAATTTGATTTTAGTTGCTGTGAGAAGCCATTGGAGAGTTTTAAGCTGGTAGTAATGTTCCCACTATTTGTTTATTTATGCATTGTATATTTTCACTGTAATATAAAACATACAAAAAAGTTTTTATGTTTGTTTGTTGTCTTAAGCCATACATTATTAAGACAAATGTATGGCTTAATAAATTATAAAGTGAACCCCCTTGTAACTGCAACCCAGATTAAGAAATAGAACTCTGCCACATACCCAAAAGCCCATTCCATGTGCCCAATTAAATCATAACTCTCCCTCCCCCACTAAATAACCATTATCCTAACTTTTATGGTAACCATTTTCTTGTGTTTTTAAAAACAGTTTACACTTAAAGGGACTTTTCCTAGATACCACAGTTTAATTTTGCCTATTAAAAACAAAAACAAGCCATGGCTGGTGTGGCTCAGTGGTTAGAGTTTGTTGATCTGCGCACCAAAGGGTCAAGGTTTGATTCCTGCAGGATGCAACCAATTGATGTGTCTCACATGGATGTCTCTCTCCCTCTCTGTGTTTCTCTCTCTCTTTTACTCTCTTCGTACACCTCTCCCTCCCTCCCTTCCACTCTCTCTAAAATATATATATATATCTCCTCCAGTGAAGATTAACAAAAAAAATCAACACGCAAACAAGAAAAGCAACTTGATGTGTCTTTTAAGTCTGTAGGTTACTACTCTATCTTTTTCTTACTGTTTATCATTGAAGAACCTAAGCCAATTGACCTGAAGAGTTTCCCACAGTCTGGATTCTCCTGGTTGTATATTCATGTTGCAGTTGAATGTGTTCCTCTTTCCTCTGTATTTCCTGCAAATTGGAAGCTGAATATAGAGACTGGATCCAAGTTTTATCCCTTTGGACAGTGTGGGGCAAGACTACAGGAGGCATATAATATCTTGTCTTTCTTGTTTTGTGATGTTAGGAATTGTTGATGCTTAATGCCTAGGTATATTAATTTGTTGGATTTACAAAATGGTGATACTCTAATTCCTTTGTTTCTTTTTCACTTATTTGTTTGACTACCATTATAGACAATTCTTGTCATCTGTTATTTGGTTACCAGCTGTGCAACTCATGTAGGATAAATGCTTGATTCTTTACCTTTATTTACCAGTTTTCGAGAGAGTGAATTGGTACACTGTTATCTACTGAAGGTGACCAATTCTTTTTAATATCATTATGAATTTATAGATTTAGACATATTTGATGGGTTTCAATTCACTGTAATCATCATCATTATTGAAGTTGAAAATGTTCCATCTTTGACCGATTTTGACATGATCCTAGCAATCTTTAAGTATGATAAGATGTTCCATAACATGTTATACATGTTATGCCCGAGACCAGGAATTAGCCATTTTCCCAAGAAATCCTTTATTTTGTGGGTGAGAGATGATATATATGTATATTGTTAATAAAGGATATTTATCATCCAAGGATATTTTTTCCCATTGATTTTGAGATACAGTGAAAGGGAGGGAGGGGTGGGGGGACAGTGAAAGAGAAAGAGAAACATCGATGTGAGAGAAACATATCAATTGGTTGCCTCCCACACATGCCCTGACCTCGGGAATGAATGTGCAGTCCAGGTATGTGCCCTTGACCGGGAATTGAACCTGTGACCCTTTGGTGTATGGGCAGACGCTCTACCACTGAGCCACACCAGTCAGAGCAGAAATGATATTTTTTACTGTAATCTGGGCACTAGGAGTGTTCATTGCTACCTGATTAGTCGCTTTCTAGGCCTTTTCAGTGGACATAGTAAAGAAATACATATTTACATATATTAAAGGTAAAATACCTCATTATTTTAAATTTGTACTTCCAATTCAAACTGCAGACTACAGAGCCTTTACTTGACCTCTGTATTATATCTATATCTCTTCTTCCACACCAGGAATCTTGGTTCTTAAGGCCATAGGGATGATGGAATTAGAATATTAGAATATACCACAGTTTCTTATTTATTTTACCCCTATTACACACAACAGTCTTAGTACAACAATACTAACACTATCACAAATGTGATTACTAAAAATATTACTTGAAAAAAAATTACTTGAAAAATTTTGCATATGCTTTTCCCATTCTCTAATAATTTTTGAAAAATATTTTTTTAATTATATATATGGGTATATATATGTTTTACCTTATTTATTTTAAAAAAGAGGTCACTTTCCTGGATTCAATAGTAGAAGTAGAAAGTCCTGTTAGGTTGTTGCAGTAATTCAGGTAAGAGATGATTTTGGTTTGGTTTAGGATGGTAGTGTTAGACGTGTGAGAAATAGATTTGGGATACATTTTGAAGGCAGAGTCAGTTAGATAGAAAAAGGGGAATTCTGGATGTCTCTTGTTGGCTTAAGAAACTGGGTGGTATTTACTGAAGTGAGAAATACTTGAGAAGGAGCAGATTTTTGTGGGGGGGAATCAGGGGTTTTATTTTGTACATTATAGATTTAAGAAAGCTAATAGCTGGGAGACTTCTGGCAAGACAGCAGAGTAGATTTTGAAATATATAGAAATAAGAAAAAGCTACTAGTTACCAAGTAGAGATATTGAGTGGGCAGTTGTATATACTGCAGCTCAGGAATGATGTCAGGACAAGATACACATTTAGAGGTCTTCAGTATAGATATATTATTTAAAGCTATGGGACTAGATGAAATCACTTAGAAAATGAACATTGAGAGTAAAGAATAGAATTGAATACTGAACCTTGGAGCTTATCAGCATTTAAAAAGAAGTCAGAGGATAGTGAGAAAGAACAGTAGTGAGGTAGGAGATTAGCCAGGAGAGTGTGGCATCTTGAAACTAGATGAAGAAAGAATTTCAGGAAAGCAAGAGTAATTAGCTGTGTCATTTGCTGTTGAAAGCTAAGATGCAGACTAAGGATTAGCCATTGGGTCTGGCAAGGTTTGGTGTCACTGACATATGTAGTTTCAGTGGAGATATGAAGACGCTGTTTAGTTGAGTGGGTCAAAGAGTTTCAGCTAGGTAGTAGATTAATATAACCTGAAAAGCCATTTGCTACAAACATCTAGAAAGGAGAAAAGAGAGAAACAAAATTTTTTTTCAAGTCCATAATCAAGCTTAAAAGAAAGAAAGTGAAACTCTCAAGTGCTAGACACTCCAAGTGGGGACTGAAAATGAGAGTGGTAAGCTGACACTGTGGTTGCCTTGGCAGAGGGTGGGAATTATCATCTTGAGATCTGGGGACTTAAGTTTAAGCAGGTACTGGGGATGAGGGATCAATCTTTTTGCTTTTCTGAGCTGAGGTTTGGAATGAAGACCTTGTTTATGAAGTCTGGACCTGGGCTGCACCTTCCATGAACAGAGAGACTAGAATATAATCTGCACATTGGAAGAGGGAGAATCCTGTTTCTTCTGGCTGGCTGTGGATAACTGGGGGTGAGGGGTGGGGGGTATTTTGGGACTGCAAATGGATGTAAGGTATCTTTTTGGAGTCGTGAGAATGTTCTAAAGGTGGATTTTGGTGATGGTTGCACAACACTATAAATTTACTAAAAATTGTGAATTGTACACTTAAAAGGAGTGAATTTGATGGTATGAAAATTATATCTCAAAGCTTTTTTTTAATAAAAAGAAAAGATCTTGGATGGCAATATCATTGGAATACCTTCCAGAAGCAAATGTGAAACAACCACACTCCTTCAACCCAGTCTGTAAGAGATTCTCAGGAAAAACAATATTGATTAGAATAAATAGAGACTATTCAAGGAGAGCAGATAGTAGAATAGTACCTTGAAAGCATTAAGGGAATATAATTATCAACGAGGAATTACATACCTAGCTAAAAGAGAGGGCCAATACAGACATTTTCAGACAAAGATTGAGAGTTTACAGTGTATAGACTCTGGTTGAGAAAACTGCTAAGGAAAAAAAGAAAAATGAACCCAGAAAGAAGGAGCTTTAAAGAGGCAGAGAAATAGTAATTAAAGTAGAGACAGCAATTCTTTTGTAATGTTTGGCTAAAAAGAGGTGCAGAAGCTTGAGGTGGGTGTGAGGTTTTAGGGCAATTTTATTTGATTGGATTTAAAAAAACACAACTTCATGGAGATAATTTACATACCATGTGAATTTAAAGTGTACAATTCAGGTTTTTACTGTATTCACAGTTATGTGCAACTATCATCACAGCCAGTTTTAGAACATTTTTTTCATGTCAAGAAGAAACACCATATCCTTTAGCTAAGTAGCTACAACTGTGTAGCTATTCTTGCAATTCCCCACACCCCCAACTCTAAGTAACCATTAATTATTTTCTGTCTCTATTGATTTCCCTATTTGGACATTCATATGACTGGAATCATATACTATGTGATACTTTGTAACTGACTTCTTTCATTTAGCATAATGTTTTCAATGTTTATCTATATTGCAGTATGTATCAGTACTTCTTTCCTTTTTATGGCCAACTAATATTTCATTATGTGGATATAATACCACATTTTGTTTATCCATTTATCCCCTGGTGGACATTTGGGTTGTTTTCACCATATTGGTTATTTTTTGAGATATTGGTATGTTTTTGTGCTGATGGGAATGATCAGAAGGAGAGAGACATTGAATGGAAAGTGCATTCTAAAGACAAGTTCCAGAATGGAAAAGAGATATTTACACATAAAATAGACATAGCCCAGTTGGCGTGGCTCAGCGGTTGAACATCGACCTATGATCCAGGAGATGGAGGTTCAATTCCCAGTCAGGGCATATGCCCAGGTTGCCTCAATGACTCTCTCATCATTGATGTTTCTTTCTCTCTCCTCCTCTCCCTTCTTCTCTCTAAAATCAATAAAGACATATTTTTAAAAAATAGTCATAAACACATAAAATAGTGTCTAGAGTATGTAAAGAACTCCAACTTCTTTTTTTTTTTTTTAATATATCTTTATTGATTTCAGAGAGAGGAAAGGAGAGGGAGAGAGAGGGATAGAAACATCAGCGATGAGAGAGTCAGTGATCAGCTGTAGCCCACAACCCGGGCATGTGCCCTGACTGGGAATCGAACCCTGATCCCCTGGATCCTAGGTCGACGCTCAATAGCTGAGCCATGCCCGGCCGGGCTCCAACTTCTTAATCAATAAGAAAAAGTCAATCCAGTTGAAAAAATAATAGACAAAAATCAGAATAGGTATTTTACAAAAGAAGAGATACTAATGGCCAAAGAACATATTAAAAGGCTGTTCACTGATGATCGCCAGATGGGAGGGGGGTTGGGAGGATGGGTGAAAAAGGTGAAAGGGATTAAGAAGTACAAATTGCCAGTTATAAAAACAGTTACAGGATATAAAGTATATACAGCATAGGGAATATAGTCAATATTGTAATACCTATATATGGTACTAGACTTACCAGGCTGATCACTCCTAAGGTATATAAATGTCTAATCACTGTGTTGTATACCTGAAACTAATATAATATTGTATGTCAATGGGAAATAAAATAAAAGCCCACACTTTGAACCTCATAAATGATGAAAACACACACATACACAAATTTAAAAACCACAGCAGGATTCTCTTGTGTGTCCATCAGACTGGCAAAATTAAAAAGTCTGACAATACAAGATATTACTACAGATATGGGGTAACAGGAACTCTTATCCACTAGTGTTCAGATGCAAATAAGTACAACTTTGGGAAAATAATTTGGAATTATCTGTTAAAACTGAAGATGTGCATACTCTATAATCCAGTAATTTCACTCATAATTATATGCCTTAGAAAAACTCACACATGTAAACAAGTTAATTGTATATTTGTTCATAGCAACATGATTTGTAATACCCAAAAATTGGGAAGACCCAAGTACCCATCTATATTAAAATGCTTAAGTAAATTGTAGCATGTTTATTTAGTGGAATAACATTTAGTGATGAATTACAGCATAGATGAATTTCATAAGCATATGGTTGAACAAAGGAAGCAAAACCCAGAGTACATATGATGTGATTCTGTTTAGAAAAGTTGAAAAAACTGACAAAACTGCACTATATTGTTTTAAAGACAAGGGAATGATTATTAGGAAGTTAGGAAAGTAGTTACCTCTGGGATAAGAGAGAGGGCTATGATGGAGGAGAGACACAGAGGGCCTTTGAATGCTAGTGTATTCTATTTCTTTTTTTTCTTTTTTAATATATCTTTATTGATTTCAGAAAAAGGAAAGGAGAGGGAGAGAGAGAGACAGAAACATCAATGATGAGAGAGTCATTGATCGAGCCCACAACCTGGGCATGTGCCCTGACCAGGAATCAAACCCTGATCTCCTGGATCCTAGGTCGACGCTCAACTGCTGAGCCACGCCCGGCCAGGCATCTATTTCTTGATTTCATTTTGGTTACATGGGTGTTTGAATTACAATTATTCAACAGTACATATATGTTTAATGTATTTTTTCTATATATGTTATATTTCACAATTTAAAAATAAAGTACTTTGGACTAAGAATCAGGTTTGGGCTCTAGTTTTAGCTTGCTCTGCCACTGTATTCTTAGTTTTTTATCTGCTTTATCTCCCTCATTATTTTATTGTGAGGATTATATTAAAGCACTTAGAAATGCTTTGTAAGTTGTAAAGCTATATACAAATACATGTACAGATGTTGGTTTATTATTACTAGGGCATGTGACAATAACATTGGGTAGTTGATAGAGTAGGACTGTGGCACATAATTATTAATGGAGTAGGACTGTGGCACATGATTATTCTGACAAGGACTTATGAGCATCTGCCATGGGGCTAACAGTATGTTTGGTGCCATGGAAGACAAAACTGCAAAGCCCCAAAAAGAGCTTAAGGAGGTAAGATTCACTAGCATAACACTTAGAAAACACTACTTGAATGAATGAATAAAAAGTGTTAAACTACAGGACTAATAGAAGCTGACCAAATATAATAAAGTACCAGTTATTCAGTAGAGACAAAATAAACAAGAAGGATAAATCAGAATTTCAGTATAATAAACCATTGTGAAGAATTTGATTCATTCTTGAAATCCCAGGAGCTTGCGTATAATACTTTATGTTGTAAATTTCTGTAGTGCAAGTTGCTATTTGGTATGCAGTGATATTGGAATGATTTTGTATTTATATTAAAAGAGTTTTAAAAATTGATTTTAGAAAGAGAGGGAAGGAGAGAGAGAGAAACATCGATCAGTTGCGTCCCATACACACCCTGACCAGGGATTGAACCCACAATCCCAGGATCTGCAACCTGGGGATGCGCCCTGACCAGGAATTAAACCCGCAACCCTTTGGTGTACAGGACAATGCTCCAAACAACTGAGCCACACTGGCCAGGGCCTGTATTTATATTTTAATGTGCTATCTGATACCATGGGACTGTCCAACATAGCTATCCAAGTAATGAAGCTTTGCTAGATTGACCCAGCTAGAAGTCTACCTGGTTTATGTCCTGTTTCTCTAGTCCTTTCCTGGTGGAGTTTGCACATCTTTATGATTAGTACAGAATGCCAAACTAGCAGACGTGCTCCTCTAATCTTATAGATCTTTCTAACACCTTTCCCAGGATAAAGTAATAAATACTTTGGTTTAAAACTTAAACAATCAGCCCAGCCAGCATGGCTTAGTGGTTGAGCATTGACCTATGAACCAGGAAGTTACAGTTCGATTCCCAGTCAGAACACCTGCCGGGGTTGGTGGCTCCATCCCCAGTGGGGGGTGTGCAGGAGGCAGCTGACCAATGACTCTCATTGATGTTTCTATCTTTCTCTCTCCCTCTCTCTTCTCTCTGAACTCAATAAAAAAATATATTAAAAAAAGTTAATCAAACTTCATTCATTTGATCCCACATTTATTAAATGTCTTTTGTGTTAATACTTCTGTGCACCTTCCCTTTCAGCTCCTTTAGGGCTTCTAATTACAAAACTGAGGTGGTTGGTCAACAAAGGTTTGAGGCAAAGGAGGTGATACTCTAAGGAGCAGAGTAAATAATATTTGATCTGAGGGTGGTTGGCATGTGTTTGTGGAGTGAACCTAATGGAAAACAAGATTTGTCATGAATAATCACAGAATAGATCATCAGGAATGTAATTTATCTGCAAATATACAAAAGTATGAAGCTGTAAAAGAGACCAGGATGAGAGTAAGATACTGTAAAACAATATAGCTTCCTATATGATGTGGAGTTCCTGCCAACTTTGAAGAGTGTCCCAGCCCACTAGTCCTTAACTGCCTGCCTTCTCTTCACAGGCTCCCTGGGTCTCAGCCATTTGGGTCAGCCCCATTGGCCCCTGTGGTCAGCCAGCCAACTGTGCTTCAGCCGTATGGCCCTCCCCCAACAAGTGCACAGGTGACTGCTCAGCTGGCTGGAATGCAGATCAGTGGTGCTGCGACCCCAGCCCCTCCCCCTTCAGGGTTGGGCTATGGTGAGTAGCTGTCACAATAGGAGTGTTACTGTTTTCCCTTTTTTTGGAAGCATCAGGCTGTGAGGGTATATGTTAATCCCTTTTATTCCTTGTTTCTGAGTAACTGGGACAGGCATTCCTGCTTCCCCCCCACCTCCTGCCCCGGTATGTGATTTACTAAACAAGGAGGCAGAATGATGGGGGTTCTGATTCTACCTTTTCTACTTTTCAGGCCCACCAACATCACTGGCCTCAGCCTCAGGAAGTTTCCCTAACTCTGGTCTGTATGGTTCCTATCCTCAAGGCCAGGCTCCTCCCCTTAGCCAGGCCCAAGGTCATTCTGGGGCCCAGCCTCCCCAGCGATCTGCCCCACAGCAGGCCTCCAGCTTCACACCCCAAGCTTCAGGGGGTCCTCGGATGCCTTCGATGACTGGTCCACCCCTGTCTGGACAGAGTTTTGGGGGACCCCCAGTGAACCAGCCCAACCATGTGTCCTCACCTCCTCCTCAAACTCTGCACCCTGGTACCCAGATGGCTGGGCCCCCAGGACCACCGCCCCCTATGCACTCCTCCCAGCAGCCAGGCTATCAGCTACAACAAAATGGTGAGTTTTTCCCAACTTCTGTCTAGGAGCCAAAGGTTTCAGCTATTCAAATGTTTGTTTGTTTGTTTGCTTTTAGTATTGCTTGCTAAGTGGTGAACTGTATGGACAGCTTCAGGGTATTATTACTAGGATATAGAGGTTGTAAGACATTATTTATTCTCACAGTTCAGACAGTGTGGTTTTTCTTTGAACAGTCATTACTCTGCCTCATAAGTCTACATTTATAGGAGTCTAGTCATTTACCTGAGGCCTTAAGAAGAGAGGGGATTTAAAAAAAAAAAAAAAAACTTTATTGATTTCAGAGAGAGGAAGGGAGAGGGGGAGAGAGACATAGAAACATCAGTGATGAGAGAGTCATTGATGGGCTGCCTCCTGCACACACCCCACTGGGGATCGAGCTTGCAACCCAGGCGTGTACACTGACCGGGAATTCAACCTCGATCTCCTGGATCATAGGTCGATGCTCAACTGCTGAGCCACGCTGGCCGGGCAAGAGAGGGGATTTTTAGTTCATCAACCTTGTGTCCTTGTCTCTCAGGTTCCTTTGGACCACCCCGGGGCCCTCAGCCCAATTATGGAAGTCCCTACCCAGGAGCACCCACTTTTGGCAATCAACCTGGGCCTCCTCAGCCACTGCCTCCTAAGCGCCTGGATCCTGATGCCATCCCTAGCCCGGTAAGTAGATACTTATGTGGTCCTGGGCAGGGAGTTTGTGGCTGCCAGATAAGTGACTCAACCTAGATGAGATGTTTGCCAGCATTTTCTGATTATTTTCCCTGTTCATTCATCTTATAGGTGTAGAAACTAGGTGTAATTTTTGACTCTGAATTGCAACTTGGGGCCCCAGAAGTCTTTTGTGGCACTTCTACTGCATAGCTGGACAAGAAAGGAAGGGAAGCCAGGAGTGATCAGCAGTGTCAGTAGAGCTCTGGGTTGAGCGCTGCATTCTGTCAATTATTGGACATAGCGTGGTAACCTCTGCCCCTTCTGTGGAGTAGAGGCTGTGTCCAGGTCTTGTCCTCTTAGATATAGTAGGACAGCAGCCTTCTTAATAGGTAGAGCTAGTGGGTATTATCTGGTGTTAGATGTTAAGAGAAGGAAAGCCTCACTGTTTTCTCTCTGCCCCTACTTGGACAGTTTTAGGAGAAAGCCTTTAGTACTTTTGTTTGCTAGGCTCCTGTGTGAGAAAAGTGATCTACAGCTTACAAGGGCAGTTTGGGGAAGCGGCTTCTCCAGGAAGAGGGTGAATCTCATCCTTAGAGCCATCAGAATCCTCAGGCCTGCCTTATCATACTCAGAATAGAGGCTGGGACTGTACTCCCAAGTGGGGGCCACTTTATAGTGCTGTCTGCAACATTTGCTATGTCAGTTACCTCACCATGCTTAGCCATTGTCATATTCCATTCTGTTCTCTTCCCTCTTCCTTTGGGGAATAGTAGGGTGAGGGAACTTGTTGGCTATGGGGGACCTGAAAGGATTAAGCAGCCCCCTTCCTTTCCCGTCCTTTAGTGAGAAGGAGAGTCTGGCGCATGTGAAGGGAGGCTTCTTTCAGCATTAGAATAGTCCTTAGATGGGAGGTTTGGCCTTTTGGAGGGAATATCCCCTTCTTCCTTAAGATTTATCCCAGTCAACCCTTCTGTATAACCCCTGCTTGCCTCCTCTATGCCCTTCTCCCTATTTTTCTACATCGTAGTCTAAGCCATTAAGGCCTCTGCTGGGCCAGAAAGATTTGGAATTTCTGATCTAGAGAGAGCCTGATTTCAGCAGGACGAGCTGGGCTCCAGCTCTTCATGTCTAACTCACAGGGTTGAGAGAAGTAACATCTGCTTCTTGTTCTTTTGTCTCCCTCCCTGCATTCCCCTGCTGCCTTTATTATTAAAATACTAAAAAGCAACTCAATGAGCTGCCTCCTCAGCAGAAAACCAGGCACAGAATAGACCCTGATGCCATTCCTAGTCCCGTAAGTGCAGAGGGTGGGGGTGTGTGTGCGCGTGTCATCCCTGTGGTAGTGCCACCCATGCATGCCTGTGACCTCATCTTCACCTCATCCACCATGTCCATCCCTCTCCAGCCTTTTCCCTTAGTCCTTTTAGACCTCGCTTTTATAAACTAGAAGGATGTGCATGCCCCAATTCACCATGTAATGAAGAAGTAGCAAGCTGCTAGCGGTGCCTTACGTATGGGGTGGTGGAAGGTCAGGCTCTAAGGGTGGGGTCAGGTGGCATGTTCAGCTTTGGTGTTTGTCCTGCTGGCTCCTCCAGGAGCCTGCATGTGGCATTTGATGGAACAGGACAAAGGTGAGCAGTAAACCCTCCCCCTTTGGGTTTGAACTGTCTACAGCTTGTGGAGAAACATTTGTGTAGGTGGCTATGAGTGTACAAGTTTGGGATACTGGCATTTCTTACGGGGAAAGGGACTGCTGGTTTGGGAAGGTGTGAGCCACTTCTCATGTGGAGAGTCTGTTTGGCTCTGATATGTTTCTAAGCTTCAACTCCTTCTGTTATGGGATATTCCCCCTTTACTTTTTCTGGTTTTACCAAACTCATCTTGAAGGAATTGACCAAGGTCATCAGCCTACACAAAGATCTGATTACCAGCTTTGCAGAAAAAATTTCCCCCCCGCTTTGCTGGGTTGTCAAAATGTGGGAGACTGAGAATTGGGCTGTAAGGAATGGGTACTTACCCTCTTCTCCCATAGTTATACATTGATGCTCACCTGAACACAGGCAGCACCCACTTCCTCACCTTACCTGATCATTTCTGGCTGTTTAATCCTCTCCTTACCCTGTCCCTTCTATTTCCATTGAATGTAGAGTCATTCCAGGTAGATTCATTTTTACATGGTTATTGTTGTCTGTTTTCCTGCTCTGACTCAGAATGTGTCTTGGGGGCAAAGGGGAATGGGGTAGGCTTGATGGGGGAGGGAAATGAAATCTGATCATGTTTGAAGGTTTCTGGAGTTAGGGGGGAAGCTGTCCTGGAGTTAGGGGGGAAAAGGGGTGATTATTATTGATTGAGAGTTTGGGCGATTAATAAAGCAGCCCATTCTTGGTGTTGCCTGTCCAGCATTTTGCTGCTAATTGTAGAGCAGAAGATTGGCATTATAGCATTTTATATGGTCTCCAGAAGGAGAGCAGGCTTGGTGCATGAGGTGTTCCTTGGCAAATTACTTGTTTCTGTGCTGCAGCTTCACCCTTTGTCCTGGCTCTCTGGGACCTGGTACTCCCTTTTCTTCTGTCACCTCACTCAGTTCACTTTTCCCTACAGATTCAGGTTATTGAGGATGACAGGAACAACCGGGGTTCAGAGCCATTTGTTACTGGAGTACGGGGCCAGGTGCCACCCTTAGTTACCACCAACTTCCTAGTGAAAGACCAAGGTGAGAAGGGCATTAACTCCTCCCTGTAGGGACTTTTACTCCAAGATTATCAACTTACAGATGGGGTTTTTGTCAGTCTTTAATCAAAGACCAGTCCCTCATTGGTCTCTAGGGGGAAAAAAGCCACCCTCAGCTCTAGCATTTATGGGGGTGATGGGGTGGGTCAGCAATGGAGAGCTGGTTAACTGGAGGGATTCTGTGATCTGACTCAGGTTTTCTACCTCCTTCAGGAAATGCAAGTCCCCGATACATTCGATGCACATCCTATAATATACCTTGCACATCTGACATGGCTAAGCAGGCTCAGGTGCCCCTGGCAGCTGTCATCAAGCCGTTGGCAAGGCTGCCCCCAGAAGAGGTAAGTCAGGATATAACAAAAGGGAGGGAGGGAAGGGGAATAAGACTTCTTCCTAGATAAGATTCTGGAAGTCAAAATAGAAGAAGTCTTGGTTGGGTGGGATGGGAGACTATCTTCAATAGCTTTCTATCCCAGGGCTCATGCCTTAAGAGGGTGGTAGGGATAAGAGCAAAAGCCCAAGAAATTTCTGAATGGGAGCAGGGTCCATAGGGGAAACAAACAATATGAAAAGAGACAGGGTCAACTTGTCGGGGAAGAGACAGCTGGATTGAGGAGACAGCTGGATAGAGGAGCCTCTGAAGCACATCATTCTATTTTTTCTTACATGCTATCCTATCATCCCTGGTAGGTTAGGGATGTTAGGACAGCATATAAGAAAAAAAGGTAAATTAGGATCCATTAGTCCTTCTCTTACCTGGCATGGGCCCTGATCTGTTACCACAGCTCTTGAAATCAGCATGAAAAAAGAAAGTGTTTGGCAACTGCTCTACCCTCATGTTCATGCCTAGCTTATCAAGCTTAGGGTGGATTTCTCTATTACTGGAAGCTCAAGGCTCACTTTATATCCTGCTTCTCTGTCTTACTGTGTTTTTCTCTTTCTGGATCTCAATGGGAATGCTTGGACACTTGGCTGCTGGTATTTATATGTAGGGTGACATCTGCCTGGGGCATCAGTATGTATCATATAAACCCAGGGATGAGGAGGACAAGTGTCATAGATACTTGGCTGAGGAAGGAAGCAGGAGTCAAGATCCCTAGGCAAGAGTGAAGGGGACTGAAGATAGGGCCAGAAATGAGAATCCTAGGTAATTTTTGGCTTTCTCCTCATAGGCCCATGGCAGCCCCTGGCTTAGTAGGGCTAGTTTCACAGTCCTTTCTCCTTCAAGAAGTGACATTTTGGAGATGGGGAGTAAGGAGAGGGAACTATGGAATTTAGACTCAGGGATATTTCTGTGACTAGTACCCTCATCATTTGTCTTCATTCCCCTTAACTGGACTCCCTCCCCAGGTCAAATATCTGAGCCATGACTTCTCCCTCCAGATGGTTCTTTCTCATCTATTGCCACATATCTAAACCCACTGTATCTTCCCTGTATGTCTGAGCACTTCCCTTTGCTCCTTAGGCTTCACCGTATGTTGTCGACCATGGGGAATCTGGCCCTTTGCGCTGCAATCGCTGCAAAGCATACATGTGCCCTTTCATGCAGTTCATTGAGGGAGGGAGGCGCTTCCAGTGCTGTTTTTGCAGCTGTATCAATGATGGTATGTTCACAGTGGCTTGGACTGGGGAAAGATCTGGATTGCATCTTCAGTGTTCTCTTTCTAGTTAGATAGATGAGGATCTGTTATCTAGGAACTGGGGAAGTAGGACACATAAGGGGATATGGAGCAGTAGAATGAGCTCAGTCAGGGCCAGACTTACTAAGATTGAGAGTGGACCTCTGAATAATACTCTGCCATGCTCCCCACAGTTCCCCCCCAGTATTTTCAACATCTGGATCATACCGGCAAACGTGTGGATGCTTATGACCGTCCTGAGCTATCCCTGGGCTCTTATGAATTCTTGGCCACTGTAGATTACTGCAAGGTGAGAGAAGATAACATGGGGAGGAGCAGTGGATGGAGGACAATGAGACAGCTAAGAATTGCTGTGATCATTTCCCTTACCCCTTCTTTCTCCCCTTGATGTCGACTTCTCTCTAATCAACTGGCCTGCTTACCAATACTCCTCTCCCCCCAACATTTCTTTCCTTTGCAGAACAATAAGTTCCCCAGCCCTCCTGCCTTCATCTTCATGATTGATGTCTCCTACAATGCCATCAGGAGTGGTCTTGTTAGGCTCCTCTGTGAGGAGCTCAAGTCACTGTTAGACTTTCTACCTAGGTGAGAGGGAGCTCAGGTGCTTCCTTTGCATAATGATTTGGGGTGGTTGGGTGTCTTGGTTGACAGCAGGTGGAGCCTGATGTCATGAAACTCAATGGTGGAGGTGACAGATCTGGGTAACAATGTCACCTTCTACAGGGAGAGTGGAGCAGAAGAGTCAGCAATCCGAGTTGGGTTTGTCACCTATAATAAGGTGCTCCACTTCTACAATGTGAAGAGCTCATTGGCCCAGCCACAGATGATGGTTGTATCTGATGTGGCTGACATGTTTGTGCCACTACTGGATGGCTTCCTGGTCAATGTCAATGAGTCTCGGGCAGTCATCACCAGGTAAGAGCCAGATTGTGGGGGTGGGGTGGGTACCACCATAGAAAGCCAGAGAGTTGAGCAGGGGAGGTCAGCAGAAGGACAGGAGCTGTGCTTCAGGAGTTTTCAGAGTCTGGGGGCCAGATAACTCTTCAGGGAATTTTGAGAACTCTGGAATCTGGATAGCAATTTTGATTGCCTCTCATCACCTGTCTCTTCAGCTTATTGGATCAGATTCCAGAAATGTTTGCAGACACAAGAGAGACAGAGACAGTATTTGCCCCAGTTATCCAGGCTGGGATGGAGGCACTGAAGGTAAGGCTAGAGTCCCCAGCAACCTCCTCTGCCTCACTTTCCTCTGGCCATTGTATTCTCTGCGATACAACCCTTTTCTTCAGTGATTGACGACTGTCCAGTGAGTCAGCCTGTCTGACATAGCTGGCACTAAATAAATGACAAGGGAGGGGATGAATGAATAATAGATGAATAAGAGACAGAATAAACAAGTAGTCCTCTCTTCTTTCCTAGGCTGCCGAATGTGCAGGGAAGCTGTTTCTATTCCACACCTCCCTGCCCATTGCAGAGGCCCCAGGGAAACTGAAGAATAGAGATGACAGGAAGTTGATCAACACAGACAAGGAGAAGGTATGGGACTGGGAGACGGGGAGGAGGGTGTTGACTCTTCACAGTGCAATATAATCTTAATTTTCTTGAGGGGGACTCGCACTCGATACTCTACCCTTTCACATGTCACATCCATGACTACCAACCTTCTCCACTGCTCCCCACCTTTCTATCCCACCTCATCCCAAAGTCCTAGGTAGAATCTCTCTTTTTTTTTTATTTTTTAAAAAAGAGACCATTCTCCTTCTATTACAAACTCCTATGAGTAGATCTGAAGTTTACATTTCATTACCCCATATAACATATTCAGTTCTCAAATAGGGTGGAGTTGAGATATTGGAAAATTTTCTTCTGTTGCTCCCCAGACTCTGTTCCAGCCTCAGACAGGTGCTTATCAGACCCTGGCCAAAGAGTGTGTGGCCCAAGGTTGCTGTGTAGACCTCTTCCTCTTCCCTAACCAGTATGTGGATGTGGCCACGCTCTCTGTTGTACCCCAGCTCACTGGTGGCTCTGTCTACAAATATGCTTGCTTTCAGGTATGGCATGGGACTCTGGGTGGCACGTGGAAGCAGGACTGGGAATGTTTGCCTACATGTCTTTAGCTATTGACTCATTAATAGGAATAGTGTTAGAGGAGAAGACTGCAAGGTGTAAAGAAGAGAGCCATGAGTGTAGTGGTTGAGAGTGTGGGGCTTAGAATCAGTCCTGGGTTAATATTCTGGTCCCACCACTTACTAGCTAGCTATATGACCTCAGGGAAATTACTTATATTTTATCCTTTGTTTTATCTGTAAAATGGGATTTTAATACTTATTAATTAGGACTTGTCATCAGGATTAAGTAATTATATATAAAGCATTTGGTGTGGTACCTGGAATGTAATGTGCTTAAGAGCTATTATTATTATCATCTTCACTGTTATTGTTATTATGATTCAGCAGTTTGTAGAGTGGAGGGGGTATAGGGAGCTTGTCTGCAGGATATTATGTGATGTGACTTTGGGCCTTGGGGGCTGCAGGTAGAGAATGACCAGGAGCGGTTCATGAGTGATCTGCGTCGGGATGTACAGAAGGTTGTTGGCTTTGATGCTGTGATGCGAGTCCGGACGAGCACCGGTCAGTCCTGGTTGAAGAAGAGCAGGTGGGGGGCTAAATCTGGGAGGGAGGTAAGTGGCACTTGTCATACCTTTAGCCCTGACCCTGTCCATGTGGCCTCAGGTATTCGTGCTGTAGATTTCTTTGGGGCTTTCTACATGAGCAATACAACAGATGTGGAGCTGGCTGGACTGGATGGAGACAAGACGGTGACCGTGGAATTCAAGCATGATGATCGGCTTAATGAAGAGAGTGGAGCCCTCCTGCAGGTGGCAGGCGGGAGGCAGGGGCTGGGGAGGAAGTCTCAGGTGTCATTTCACTGGATATAAAAAGGCTACAGGGAAGAGGGTGAGAGGTGGGTAGAGAGAACTAGAAGAGGCATGGGAAGGGATGGCTTATGTCTTTCCTCTAGTTTAATGATATAGCAAAGGGGCGGTTTTCCAGAGGGCTTTGGTGAGGGAGGAATGTGAGCTCCCCTTTTCTCTCTTCCCCTAGTGTGCTCTGCTCTATACCAGCTGTGCAGGGCAGCGACGGCTCCGCATACACAACTTGGCCCTGAACTGCTGCACCCAGCTAGCTGATCTGTATCGAAACTGTGAGACTGACACACTCATCAACTACATGGCCAAGTTTGGTGAGGATAGAGGCAGGGCAGGGTGGGATTTGGGCTGAAAAAGGTGATGGTCAACGGTTCGGCATTCCTAGATAGATGTGATGGTAGGAAGGTACATGTAATGGAGTGCCTGACCAGTGACTGTGCTATTTCTGTTTCCCATCCAGCATACCGGGGAGTCTTGAACAGCCCTGTGAAGACTGTTCGTGACACTCTTATCACCCAGTGTGCCCAGATCCTGGCTTGTTACAGAAAGAACTGTGCCAGTCCCTCCTCTGCAGGACAGGTGGGGCAAGCATGTTGGAAGAGTTATTGGGATAAATGTTTGCATTTGGGAGGGATTTCTCATCATTATTGATTTTATTTTGATAACCCCCTTCAGTTGATCCTTCCTGAGTGCATGAAGCTACTCCCAGTTTACCTGAACTGTGTGTTGAAGAGTGATGTCCTGCAGCCTGGAGCTGAAGTCACTACTGATGACCGTGCCTATGTCCGACAGCTGGTTACCTCCATGGACGTGGCTGAGACCAATGTCTTCTTCTATCCTCGGCTCCTACCTTTGGTGCGACTGAGGGCTAGAGTGTGAGAAATTGTACTGATAAAGGGGCATCATAGAAGGACAGGAAAGATTCATATTATCTGTGTCTGACATTAATGAATTTGTTTTTACCTGTTATCTGATATAATTTTCACAGATAGAATTACTGAGGCACTTTAGCTTTCTGAAATTTTTGTGTGTGGGAGGGTGGGCAGTAAATGTGTCTTAGGGTCTTCAGTAATATTCTCCCCCCTTCCTTTTGTCTAGACAAAGTCTCCCATTGAGAGTACCACTGAACCACCAGCAATTAGAGCATCAGAAGAGCGTCTAAGCAACGGGGATATATATTTGTTGGAGAATGGGCTCAACCTTTTCATCTGGGTGGGAGCAGGTGTCCAACAGGGTGTTGTCCAGAGTCTTTTCAGTGTCTCCTCCTTCAGTCAGATCACCAGTGGCTTGGTAAGGGCAGGGCATCAAGGAGAATGTGGGTGTGGAAATGTGTTTTGTGTAGGAACCAATAAAGTTATTGTGCTAGTCCCCTTAAACAGCGGGGAACACTAGGAGGGCAGGGAGGGTGCTGTCATTCTTCCCAGGCTTCCTTGTTTCATAATGCATAAATCTGTGCTGCCCCATATTGACTGGACTCAGAGTACTTTGCCATAAGGATAAATGAATTTTGTGTTCCAGAGTATTCTGCCAGTTCTGGATAATCCGCTGTCCAAGAAGGTGCGAGGCCTCATTGATAGCTTAAGGGCACAGAGATCGCGGTACATGAAGGTAACACTGATCTGAATGTTGGATTTTTTTTACCTTGTCAGGTCCTCACCTGGAAGGGGGGTGGAGAGTAAGTGGCTGGGTAATGGGATTTCAGGGGATGTTGACTTCCCACTGGCTCTGCCTCATGACCCTGTGTTCTGGCCATAGCTTATCGTGGTGAAACAGGAGGACAAGCTGGAGATGCTGTTCAAACACTTCCTGGTGGAAGACAAGAGCCTGAGTGGGGGAGCATCCTATGTGGACTTTCTCTGTCATATGCACAAGGAGATTCGGCAGCTACTGAGCTAGAGCAAGTGGGTAAATGGCATAGGTTCCCAGGCCAGCTTCCAGAAAGTACCCCAGGGTAGCAGGGAAACCAGGACAGTTCCATATCTTATAAGTCATGTAAGCTGACCTCAGTCTATTTGGGGGGAGGGAGAGGTATAAAGAGACACCTTCTTTCTGGGCTCAAGTATCTCCTACTCTGTCATGTCCTGCTGATGGAAGGTGCCCCTATCTCCTCACTTTGCCCTTCTTTTCCTGCTAATCCTGTTGTAATGAATGTAGTTTCTAAGTTCACTGTATATGATTTGGTGTTGGGGGATTTGGAGGCACCCAGACCCTGGGCGATATCATGTCCCTTTGTACCAACCTCCAAGAAGAGGGAACAGGCAGGAAAGAGCAGGGATCCCAGGGTTACTATGGCTGGAGAGGCTAATTCAGCTCAGTGCCATCAACAACTTCCTATATTAGGGATAAAACATACAGATGCACAAGAGCTGGGGTATAGACCTTAGGTAGTGGAGAGAAAATTGGTTGGTCCTTCTTGGGCCTGGAAGTCAGCAGCCAAGTCAAAATTATTGAGGGTGGTTGATTAGCTTTCTCAGCTTCCACTGCTTTTGTTCTCCTGCAATGATTGATCACTCCGTCGATAGAGGCAAGTTGTCAGAGGTGAATGAGCCTGGGAACTGAGTTGCAAAGTATATTAACACCTGGGAGAGAGGTACCAGCCTCCTTTCCAGCTGGAGAAGCCCCAGCACTGGATGGTTCTGTAGGAAGCTCGGTAATCAACTTGCAATACCTCACAGAGCCAGCCCACATCCCACTCTGAGCTCCCACTGGAAACTGCTTCTCCAAGCTGGGGGTTGTTGGGGAGAGAGACAGAGGTGGCCAGAGCTCTGTTCTCTCCTCCCGGGACACCACTCGGGCTTTCGTATTGATAGAGTGGCTGACAGTTATCTTCCAACCCGAACTGGCTGGAGCAGGACAAGGGCTAGGTTTGATGTTGGCCAGAATTGCCTGCTCCCAGCCTGCGATGCCCCTGCTCTGGACCTCTCATTCTCTTCATTGGTTTATTTTTCAATGCATCTTTAATTTGTAAAGAAATAAACTAAATTAAGATGTAACCAGCAGCCTCATTTTTACCGGCAACGTATCACTTGCCCTCCGGTCCTTTCTACTTAGCGGAGTCGCTCCCAGGAAGTGGACGGCTGAGAGGAACTGCGCATGCGCCACAATCCCCCAGCAGCAGCCTACTGCCTGGTTCCGGTCACGACTTAGCGCGGGGCGGTGTCTAGTGCTGTCTGAAGGGATTTGGCTGCCAGAGTGGACATGGCGGTTGGCCGCAACCGGGCTGTGCTTGCCGCTCTGGGAGTGCTTAGTGTCTGTGCGCCCAGCCGCTCTGGGCCCATGACTGAGGGGGAGACCGGTGGGGAGGCGGAGTGGGCGGAGCCGTGGGATGGCACGGTTTTCCGGCCGCCCTCGGCGCTGGGCGCAGTGGGGGTGGCGCGCAGTCCGGAGACCCCGTGGCCAGGGAGGGGGGAAGCAGCGGACTTGCCGGTGCTGCTGTGGTGGAGCCCAGGGCTGTTTCCCCACTTCCCGGGTGACTCGGAGCGCATCGAGTGTGCGCGCGGCGCGTGCGTGGCGTCCCGGGACCGACGGGTGCGGAATGACTTGCGCACGCGCGCGCTGCTCTTCTATGGCACCGACTTTCGCGCGTCTGAGGCGCCACTGCCCCGTCTGGGGCATCAGAGCTGGGCGCTGCTGCACGAGGAGTCGCCCCTCAACAACTTCGTGCTGAGCCACGGCCCAGGCATCCGCCTCTTTAATATCACCGCCACCTTCAGCCGCCACTCGGACTACCCGCTGCCCTTGCAGTGGCTGCCCGGGACTGCCTATCTGCGCCGCCCGGCGCCTCCGCTCCAGGAGCGTGCGGAGTGGCGCCGCCGCGGCTACGCGCCGCTGCTCTATCTGCAGTCGCACTGTGATGTGCCTGCGGACCGGGACCGCTACGTGCGCGAGCTCATGCGCTACATCCCGGTGGGTGCGGGCGTGGCGGGACTGGGAGGGGTGGGGGCGCGCCGGGCTGAGGCCAGGACCCCTGGTGTCCGGGCCGACGTGCCGACCCCTCTTGACCTGTATTCTACCCTGCTCAGGTGGACTCATACGGGAAATGCCTGCAAAATCGGGAGCTGCCCACTCCACGGTTACAGGACACAGCCACAGCCACCACCGAGGATCCAGAGCTCTTGGCCTTCTTGTCCCGCTATAAGTTCCATTTGGCCCTCGAAAATGCTATCTGTGACGACTACATGACAGAAAAACTGTGGCGCCCCATGCACCTTGGTGCTGTGCCTGTGTATCGCGGCTCTCCCTCTGTGAGGGACTGGATGCCCAACAATCACTCCATCATCCTCATTGATGACTTTGAGTCACCTCAGAAGCTGGCAGAGTTTATTGACTTTCTGGACAAGAATGATGAGGAATATATGAAATATCTGGCATACAAACATCCTGGGGGCATCACCAACCAGTTCCTTCTGAATAGTCTGAAGCATCGGGAGTGGGGAGTGAATGATCCTTTATTGCCCAACTATCTCAATGGCTTCGAGTGTTTCGTTTGTGATCATGAACTGGCTAGGCTGGATGCCGAGAAAGCCCACGCAGCCTCTCCTGGGGACATCCCTTTCCCTGAGCCTCACATTGCCCAGCCCTCACACATGGACTGCCCAATGCCAACACCTGGCTTTGGCAGTATGGAAGAGATTCCTGAGAGTGACAGGTAAGGGATTCCCTGCAGCCATCAAATAAAATGATTTATTTACTTGCTTCTGTGGGCAATGAATTGGCACTAGGTGCTGAGGGGCTGTTGTATAAGGAAATTATGAGAAGGGCTCACTCTGTCTTTAAAGTGTCAAGAGTCTAGCTGAGGATATAAAACAAACTAAAAAAGCTCAGTAAAGATGTAGAATATAATTCAAGGCAACAACATATGAAAATCAGCTTATGTGGACCTTTGCAATAGTAACTTAAAAAAGGTTTCAACCAGAGCAGAGGGCTTGTTCAGAGAAGTCATGAGGGAGAGACAAAGTTGGGCAGATAAAGTGGGGCCAGGATATACATAGCCCGAATACCAAGCTCAGGAATTGTACTGTCCTGAAAATCAATTCAGCTATTTATTGGGCACCTTTTGTATTTGTATATATGGTAGGGGTGGGGATGAGGAATGCAAAGGTGAGTATTTTGAGGGAAGAATATCTGCAATAGTCAGGGTCACACACGTTAACCTGGCATAATTACTAATAGCACGTCCTTTCACTCTTAAAAGTATGCTGATTTGGATGATAAATTTTACGTAAACCCTAGACAGAATAGGGGAAATTCTTTCAAAAAGAGAATTAACAATGGTGGGCAATGTGCATCAGAAGGGAAGTGAGGCTACTGCAGTAGATGGCAGAATGTGGTAGCAGTGGGGGGAACAAGGTCAGCATGGGAGGTGGAGCGGGAAATTATTGAAGCCACTTGCAGCAAAACACACCTGTTAGGGGAGAGGCAGTAAAAGATGATTAAATTTGGTTGCTAGATTGGCCTGCAGAGACTGACATTGACAGTAGATGGCAGCAGAGGGCTGTTTATATGTGCTACTGGCACAGTTTGGTCATGGAAATGAAGTCCTCCATCAAGTAATTTGTATCTAGTTTATGCTGAACATAGTATTATGATTTACTAGAGGAAAAGTGTAAAACAATGTAAACATTTAATAAATTCAGGTGTGTCTTAATCTGGACCCTGGATGCTGTTGCACCTTCATTTTGATTATTGAAACAAAGGTGCAACCTAAAAGGCAACCAACCATCTGATCCAGGAGATCTCAGGATGATTCCCAGGCATGGGACTGCTGGCTTGATCCCCAGAAGAGGGCACGCCAGGAGGCAGCCGATAATGACTCATCACTGATGATTCTCTTTCCCTTCCTATCTCTGAAATCAATAAAAATATATTTTTTAAAGGCAACCATCTAAATAACAACTGCTTCCCTAATCTGGCCCCTGCCGCTGCCTTTGAACTCCCTCCACATTTGGGAAGCTGAACTCATTAATTGGGCTGTGTGATATATTCGTGTTTGTGGTTTACTGTCACCTGAACTAGTACTGGATTTACTTCACATTCCTTCCGTTTGAAGCAGAGCCCTGTGCTAGCCAGAGACCACTGTATCTCAACATTTTGTTGGCTCCATAGTTGTGCTGAGGTTGCATAACCCACCCCCCATTTTGATATTTCAGCTGGAAGGAGATGTGGCTGCAAGATTATTGGCAAGGTCTGGACCAGGGGGAAGCTCTCACTGCCATGATCCACAACAACGAGACACAACAGAGGAAATTTTGGGATTACCTACATGAGATCTTCCTGAAAAGGAACCAAAATCTCTAAATATCCCACAAGAGCTTTTAACTTGGTCGAGTTAAGGAGATGGAAGTCATTCTACCACAGGACACGAGGGGCATCTGCTGCACGAACCCCTAATGAACATAGTCTTATCATGAATTCAAGGGATTCCAGTTATATCCACTGACATTTTATCCTAATGAAGTGTAGCCGGGGTCTCAGCCTGTGGTAACAGGGCCTCTCCTCAAGGAGAGATGAAGGCATCCAGTTCTTGGACAGTGGAAAACAAGCCTGAAACACCCATTTGATTGAAGGAGCTGATCAACAGAATTTTTAAGGCACGACTTATGTCTCTAGTCATTTCATCTCGATTATGATTAGAACAGCACCTTAATACTGGCCCCAGATGAGGTAAGACTGCTTGTGCGCTGCTCCTCAAACCCCTGATTATTTAGTATGCTTTCTTTTTTCCAGATCTTCTGCTTTATAAACTGTTATGCTGGTGGTGAAGCAAAACTCCTGGTGGGTTGTATTCTGGTTCTCTGGAGTTGTATTTTTTATATCATTTACCAGGACTTTCATGTCAAACTTTTTATTTTAAATGTTTTTTTCTTTCCTAGTTTTCCACAATTACTGATGAAGATGCAGCAGCCTTCCCACCATTCCCACATTCTTTCTTGCATTAAACTAGCTATAGACTTGACAGCTTTATATATATAATGATTTTGAAATATTAAAATAGGCAAGTGTGAATCAAAGTGAAACATTTTATAGGTCTTTGTTCTTTTCTGTCTAATGAAGTCTTCCCTGTTTTATTATTTTTATATGTTACAAAAGTCCCATTTCCGCCAGAGAGTCATGAAATTATGGTGGAAAAAGCAGCCCAGCAATATAGCTCTAGTAATTACCTCGTATTCTGTAGCACTTTTCATTTTAATTGGGATGAATATTCTGGCTTCATTCATTCTATTACTGATACCCTTTTATACAACTTTATAGTATTTCTGAGACTACATTTTGTGGAGCCCACCCAAGGTCAAGGGGATGAGAAGTGAGGCAGGAGATTTAAGCCACCACAGTGGCTGGCTAAATAAAAAGCTGTTAGATTTGGGGGTGTAGCCAAACCCTTCTATTGCTGATTTGAAGACACAGCTTAATGGGCAGGGAGGTCATTAGCTTTTTCTGGGGCAGTAGAACAGGGAAGAATAACTTGGCCCTTAGAGCTCCCTGGTTGTAAAGTTGTATTAATGAATTATCACCACAGAAGTTCCACAGCTTATCAATATATCTGGTGGAAAATTAGTTTGAATGTATGTATATATTTATCACCACATATAAAAATACATATATATGTAGATGCCTCAACAACTAGGGTCCTACCTTTAATATTGTAACATCTAAGGATGTGGCCAAGGAAAGGTATTATTTAGGCTGGATTTTACTGGCAGAGTGCTTCTTTTTTCATTCTATTCTTTAATTAAAAATGCCCTTCATAACAGCATGGAAAATTTGCTTAACCTATTTGCTCTTTTGCAGAAAAGAAAAAGAGTTAAGGACAGACCTTCAAAAATACTTACATTAGCCCTGGCTGGGTAGCCCAGTTAGTTAGAGCATCGTCCCAATACACCAAGGTTTGGGGTTTGATCCCCAGTCAGGGCACATATAACAATCAACCAATGAATGCACAAATAAGTGGAACAACAAATCTATGTTTCTCTTGTTCTCTCTCTCTCCGTCCCTCCCTTCCCCTCTCTAAAATCAATAAATCAAAAATTTTTTTTTAAATACATTAAAATTTGATACTGTAGGGACCCACAAAAGAAGTCAAATTCAGGGCTCTGATTTCTAAGTTTGCAATCTATTCAAATACAAATGCTGACTTATAGTGCAAAATACTAGTACCCAACTGCAGACTAAGGTTAGGACTTAAATTTCATTATGGGCAGTAAAAAGGATAAGTGATGGTTAGGCAAGGTGTAGAATTATCCTTACCTTTCCTGTCTAATTACACCAGTTCACATTGGCATTCCTTAGCACTTTTATGTACAAAGTGGGCTAGTTGTTTATGAATTATTGTGACTAGAGACTCATGCCTACTTTGTGGTCAGTACTTCCCAGACTTTTTTCCTTTATTCCTATTGCCATAAAAGTATTCACAAAAGAGCAGGGTAAACCAGGTGCTATATTTCCATAAGGGAAAGCAGAACCAGGAATAGCCACGTGGAACTTATCAACTAAAGGCTTCACTTTCCCTATGGAGAAAGCAAGCAATGTGAATTTTCTCTGGTTTGGAGCACAGCCTGCTCTGTATACAGCAGCAAGCTTGGGGTTTATTGGCGGTAGAAGTTTCTGATAGAAATCAGTTTTACTTGTGCTGCTGGAGAGGGGGTAGAGCATGGGGTTGATACTTTTATTACTCCAAGTGTTGCTACTTTCTGTTTTCTCAGGTTTCCTTTTGTATAATAAATAGCTTATTTTTAAACAGTGTCTTCTGCTTGGTTTATTTCTGTGGTGAGCATGATAAAGTTGGATACTTACAAAAATATTCCAAACATTTGTTCACTTAACAAATATTGACAGTAGGCACTGAGGATTCAGCAATGAACAAAATAGACAAGGTCCCTTCTCTCATAGTCCTTTTTAAATTTTTTATATGTTTTTATTGATTTCAGAGAGAGGAAGGGAGAGAGAGATAGAAACACCAATGATGAGTGATTGATCGGCTGCCTCCTACATGCCCCCCTCCGGAGATGGAGCCCCCAATGCTGGCCTGTGCCCTTACAGGGCATCAGTCGTGATCTCCTGGTTCATAGGTTGACGCTCAAGGCCGGCTGGGCATAGTGCTTACATTTTAAATGGGTATTGGTGGTAAGTAAGGTGGTAAACAAGCAGTAAATGAACAAGATAATTCAGACTGTGATAGGTGCTATGAAGAAAATAAAACAGGTTGTGGTGGTGGGGTGTGAGAAGTTAAGGAAGGCCTCTCTGACATGAACTGACAACAGGAAAAAGAGCCAGTCATGCAGAGACAAATGGGAAGATTACAAACATCTGTGCTGTGATAAATGATTTTAGCACACTAAATTTACACAGTCAAATAAATATTGCTCCTCCAAAACAGTCACCTTGTGAATTACAAGACTGTTTCAAGTTATGCTTCCATTACTAGAAACATTTCTTAGGGCTCATTTGTAAATTCCTTGAGAATTCAATGCACATCTTTGGATTGTTTTGTAAACAGTTAAGTCACTTAGAACCAAGTCTGACGAAGCCAGGCATCACAAGGAGCCAAGACTATAAACAGGAATACTACCAAGTATCTTCACAAGATTGGCAAGAGGATTAAATAAAATGGTGAATGCGAAAGTGCTTAAACTTCACCTTACCCAATGAGAGCATTACAAACGAGCAAACTGTATCTTAGTAGCACCTTTTAAATAAATGAGCCTATTTTTCTTTGCGGCTTGGGGGGTGGTTCTAAAGGTAGTAAAAAAACCAACAGTTACTGACGGCTTATTAAAACAACAAAAATCTTTCCCAACTAACACCTTAAAGACTCATATTTTGATTCGCTTCCATACTCTCTGGCCTTGCCTATGCCAATCACTCGTGCCAGCAGGCTAGCACGATAAATGAGTGTTCATTTATTGGGGCCCTTCCCCGGGTGTTCCCGGCCCAGTATTGCAAGGAAACTTCAGGGCCCGGGACCTACAAAGGAGTGACCTGGGTCAGCCTACGAGCCCAAAGGTTCTTCTAACCTGCACACTGGTCTGGACCGTCCGGTGTCTCAGCCAGCGTCGACGCGACCGGGCCAAGTGAAAACGGGAGCAAGCAAACGAGCCTCCGAGCTTTCCCGGGGCCAAGCCCCAAGCCCCGTCGAGCTCATAGGGGTCACGCAGGGTCACGCACGGCGCCGCAGAGCCTGCCGGGAGCCTGGTGCGCAATGGCGACTCCCAGCCTGCGGGGCCGCCTGGCGCGGCTAGGAAACCCGCGGAAGCCCATACTAAAGCCGAACAAGCCCCTCATCTTAGCTAACCGTATCGGGGAACGGCGCCGGGAGAGGGGCGGTGAGCAACTGGAGCTGAGGAAGCTCCAGAGCGGAAGCAAGGGGTGCAGGGGGGCGGCTGGGTGGGAGGGCTGGAAGGTAAGGGTCTCCCTGTGACTGAGGGTCCCCCCCCTTTTTACCCTCCAGAGGCGACCTGTATCACAGAGATGTCGGTGATGATGGCTTGCTGGAAACAGAATGAATTCCGCGACGAAGCGTGCAGAAAAGAGATCCAGGACTTCTTTGATTGTGCTTCGAAGGCTGAGGTGACAGCTCCTGGAGTGCCTCTTGGAAGGATAACGGGGTTGGGGGGAGGGGGGGCGGTACAACTAATGGTTTTCCCTGCCTCTTGCTAGGTGGTAAAGCCCTCTCATTCTAAAAGGGCGAGGAAAGTTTTAGGAGCTAATTCACCAACGCCAAAGTAGGAAAGGTTACAGTTTTGAAAGCATTGTCATTTTGAGCTTTAGCTTTACCAGATGTACAATGAAGTTAATGTTAATACTCACAGAACTTTGTGAGCGTCAAATGAGGGAATGCATGGGAAATCACTTTGTGAAATTTAAATTGCTGCTCAAATAGACATTATTTTCTGAAATAGAACTAAAGATAGTGAAGGACAGATTGTATGGTTTCCAGCCCAGGCTTAGTTGCTAATTGGCATGGTAGCTTCAGATCCTAGTCATTTGTAGGTACCATGTCCCTTTTGTTGAAAAGGGCCTGAGAAGATGACACAGATTTCTCCTGGGTGGTGAATATCTTAACGTGTTTGGGGGTGTTGTGAGAACTGTTGGCTTAGGTCAGGACAAACTTTAGAGCTGTAATTTTTGTTTTTGTTTTGTGTTTTCAGGCAGCCCGAAAGATGAGATCGATCCAGGGAGAGTATGGGAATTTACCCCCCCAGAAAGTGAATATATTGTTACAGAGGTTTCCTAACAAATCACATGTCAGCTGAATGGAGAAGCATTTTCAATGACTGGACTGTAGCTTCTGAGAATATGCAGAGGTGTTTTAGAGACATTTGCACTGCCGTGCTCTATTTGAAGGGTAAAAGGAGGCAAAACACTTTATTCACCCTTTGGAATTATTGTCTGGGTGGAAGTTATGCTTTATCTTGAAATAAACTCCTCTGAAGAGAACTTGGCCTTTTGTTGTGGATTAGCTACTCCCTCCATACTTGAATCCTGTATCCTCCCCTAGACTCTGGGAGTTCTTTGCTCCCTGATTTGCCTCAGGAGCAGAACAAAAACCTTCGTCATATGCTGCATTTGAAGTCCTTTACACCATTCAGTACCCTTGCCTTTGGATGCACTAAGGATGTTGAAGTCTGCCTATATACAGAGGGGGTTTTTTTGCCATCACCTGTAAGTATTTAGTAACGGCCTACTTTGTTCATAGCCCCTGCAAGTTACTCCCCGAATATCAGAACTTCACAAACTAGTGATCCAAAGGTACTGCAGATGTATTTAATTTGGCCCACATAGTTAAACATTTGTTTTTATATTAGCTGACCACATTTAAAAATCGGGGGAAAATATCATAAAAAATCCACTTTTTAGCTTTTCTTTTTAAAAAATGAAAAGATCTGGCAACTCTAGTTTCTCATTACCACGTGGCAGTAATCAAATATCCATACAGCTGATTATCATTCATTTCTATTTTCTAGGGAGGTGTCCACTGGACTCCCCCAAATGGTGAAATTGTGACTTAACTGGCAGTCACCTTCTTTGTGTGTCGCCTGTCTACTTCTCTCATTAAGTTACCACTCAGTTGCTGAAAGCATTTATTTTGTGACATCCCCACCCGTGATATTAGAAACAACTATAGCATTTTATGTATATTCAGCCCTTTCAGTCATAACTGAGTTAAACTTTGCTTTGTACCTCCCAGCATTATGTGCACAAAGGGATCAGTGGGGTTTTTAAAGCTCCAGTGGGATATTAAGATAAAGAAGGGGTTTTGCCTCCCTGATCCCCCACAGCTACCTCTTCCTATAGTCCTCATACCCGATAGCAATTGTCTGGTTCTGCAAACAGGCTTTTAGCCATGGGAAGAAGCTCAGTGGACTTGACTTAGGAGTCCTTAACCTAGAGTCAATAGATGCCCAGCAAGATTTCTGTGAGCATGGATGGGAAAATTTTTTTATCTTTAACCACAGCTAATTTAGCATTTCAGTTAGGACTGTGGGAAATAAACCACAGTATCATTAGCAATAGCTATATGAAATCACAATATTTTCATATCATACTACAGTTTGTTACAGATACCTCAGTATCATTTATGCTCATCACTAGCTTCAAATTATGGTAGCTATTTACACTTGCTGCTGGATCTTATTTAATATGTAAATAAATATTACTATGTTACAAATTTCTTCTATTAATATTTTGATAATTGTATTTCAACATAATTGATTTATAATTCTTGTAATTTTATTTTGTGCATTTATAAACAATCCGAGAAGGGGGTTCACCAGGCTACAAAAGGGTCCAGGGCACACAAAAGGCTAAGAACTTCTAGACTCAACGGCCCACTGACAAAAAGCACAACCATTTCCTGAAATCAAACGCCTTCTTTTCCTGGTGCTTCGCCGATTAGACCTTATAAA